AAAAAAAAAAAAAATGTCTTGTGTAAATCTCTGCTCTTTGACACTAGAACACTATCCAATAAGTGGACTAACAATAACGTCATTACTGCATAAAGCAACAGGTTGGACTACTTACTTTCTGTCCACTGCAGAAGAAGAAACAAGACACATGTTACTAATCTGAGCCACATTGAACCCAAAACCGTAAGATCCATATCCATACTTAGATGTCATTGTGATAGGTGGCAAGCTGGCATGATCACGGTGTGCTACTCAAGCATCCTCCAGTGTGTCGGTCTGTTTGTGGCTCATTGAGTCTTAGCATGCTCTCATTCACATGAACACCAATGAGGCGCATCTCTCTGTATCCTCAATACAAAGAGGCCTCTGGGGATTGGTGAAGACTTGAACAGAGAGGGGCCATCAAGCATTCTGTCTGAATAATAATTAGAAGGGGATGATAACATTGGATATTAAATAAGGAGCAGCAGACAAAATGCTGCTTCGCCCTCTTGCAATCACGGCCTTCCATCCACTCTAGTCTAATGACTCTCTCAGAAAGCTCTTAAGGTTAATTTAATGCAAAACAGACCATGCCATCTGCCAGGATTCATGGGTAAGAATGTGCACTGCCTTCCGGTTGAACAACTAACGCATTTGTTTTCCAAGCCATGAACCTTGTGCATTGGTGAATCTGTCATTTCAAAAAGGTTTATCTGCGGTTAGTAATAATTCTCCACTATTATTACTATTATTATTATTGTATATTCCTTTCTTTCATTTTTTTCTCGATTTTTTTTTTTAATGGTGAGGACTAAAATAAAAATGAATTTAATTCAATAGAAAAATAAAAATATAGATTATTTTTGTCCATTTTGGACTGTTATGAAAAGAACAAAAATAAGAAAATAAATAAATATTATTATTATAAATCATCGTGCAATTCTACACTTCCATAGTCTACTTCTAAAAAGTAAATAAATATAATAACATACATACAAGCATATACATTTTCATAAAATGTGAATATAAGAAATCATAATTTTCACAAAAAAATTTGGATTGTTACAAACAGCATAAGAAAAATAAAAGAAATAGGCAATTACTATAATAATAATAATTTAAAAGTCACCTTGAGTTTTACAATTTAGCACAACTACGAGGTAAAGAAACATAATAACCTATACAAGCATATACATTGGCATACGATATGACTATACGAATTACATCACCAGTTTTTGTATACTAAAACCCTCAAAACAAACGCTAATTCTATATCTTTCTTTTCTCATTTGCAGCTCAAAAAAGGGGAAAAAACACTAATATTGTAACGCTAATAGCTACTGCAAATAAGAATTCTATTGTCGTGATTTTTTTTCCTTTTGAGGATCTTATTTCGTAATCTTAAGTGCTGTGGACAAACGCTTAAACGCACAAAATATGCATGCTGGCGTCTTTACACTTCAAACCGCATGCATGCAACAAGTGGCCAGTCGGTCAAACCCTGAACAACAAGTGTCTGAACTCTTCCAACGTTGAATGTGCATGAAGCAGCTTCCTGCATTGTGGGCGTGTCTACAGATTTTTAAAGGAATCATAGGACTTTGATTGGTTCGAGTTTGCTTTTCTTTCCAGTGATTGGACAATTCTATTAGCTGCAACGAGCTGATTGGCCGCCTGGTCTGTACTCAAATTCAAAACTTGCGACTACGCACTCTGGTTTTAAACGGTATTTCAATGCAGCTCAGCATCACTGACACATGGATTTACTGAATCGTCGTTCATTTAGATGAGTTATAAACATGTCGTTTAAAGTCGCGAAAGCGGAGTGTTTGGACTTTAGTCCAACATTTGATTCTCATTGTAGTCGCGATAAACCCGGCAAGGAAAACAACACTTCAATTCCTGTGCTGCGTTTGCTTCAGTTTTCTAGGTCTCCTTTCGTGTCATTTGGGACGATCAAGTTGGGATCATCAAAATCTCTGCCTTTACGAATCGAAAATCCCACCGACGATGCAACAATGACAGTCATTGTGGATAAAATTTCAGCATCCAACGGCTTTTCGGTTGATCAGAGGTCTTTTACAATACAAGTAAGAGTAAACAAGAAGCTATGTGTCTAAACCTAGTGAGCTTTCCAGCTTAACAAAACAAAGAAAGTCTATGAATGTGGTTAAAAAAAGTGTATTGCCTATTACAATTATGTTAAAGTAAAATAAATATCGTACTATGTGAATGAGACATGTTTATTAGTGTATACATTGGAGGGTTTATTCAGATTACAGAATTTACACATGCACCAAGCTATTTTGCAATATGTAGAGAAATAACTCACCAAGAAATGAACATTTTTATTAATTCACCTATATCTTTATATTTCTTTATTCTGTGGACAACATGCAAATGGTATTTGTGCCATCTAAATATGAGCATATTAAAAATTAGTGTGTTATTGATTACAAAACACGAGAAGCAGCTGCATTGGATGTGGTAGTTTATGTCAAACCTGATGGGACACATCTTGACACACTATATTTGAGAATATGCAAAGGTAGAGCTTATCTGTGCTGAGATTAATAAGTGTGTTGTGAAAAAGACCAAAATGTACCTATGGAATATTCCGCATGAGTTGAATGGGCTTCTTTTATGCAGCCTTTTGTAAATTTTTGGAGCTTGACAGCTCAGACAGTCCCTATTCACTTTCATTATATAGAAAAGAGCTGCATGAACATTCTGCTAAATATCTAATTTTGAGCTCCACTGAAGAAAGTAGCCTAAGTCGTAAGTTTGGAACGGCTTGAAGGAAAGTTACTTAAATGCACATTGTCTATTTTTCAGCCTGAAGACAGCATTATTTTAACTGTTACTTGGACACCAGTGGAAGAAGGTGGAGTTCGAGAACTCCTCTGCTTTGTTGCAAATGGAATCGTCAAACATCAAGCGATTTTGCTTGGGAAAGCAGAGGCGACAAAAAAGAAAAAAGTAATCTCTCTCTCTCTCTCTCTCTCTGTTTTATTTTTTAAAAAGTGACTCTATTATTCCATTTTTAAAATTCCTAATCCCAATATTGTTTTAGGAGTCTCTTAGGGTTACATGCATGCAAGGTCAAAAAATGCTGTCGTTTTCTCAAAATATGCATTTAATATCACCTCATTTTCCAGCGATTCTAATATGATTCGTTCAAAGCAGTTAAAAGATTCAGTCTCTCTAAACACCTCCTTTCCGCGAGCCTACTCTACTCTGATTGGTCAGATGGCCCAGTCTTTTGTGATTGGTCTACCGCGTACAGCACATGTTTGAAACAGTATGCCCATTGCCATAGTTCTGTATTTTTGAACACGCGATAGAAATTTATGTAAACATATATTATTTATCATATTTGGGTCAGTGACAAAAAGGGGTTGGCAAGATGAGAAATTCAAAACGTTTTAAAAGCATGCATCAGGTATTTTAAAATGTACACAGTGTGTTTATGTTGATTTTATGTAATTAAAAATGACATATGCACCATTTTTTTTAATTTTTTTTAATTTTTTTTTATTATTATACAGAAGTTAAGACTGAATGTACCTGAAAATGTCAAATGGTGTAACTGCCAAAGAATGAGAAATATTAAATATTGTATCCACCTAGATCGCAAGTAAGCTTACTCATAGAAATAAATACTTCATTTTAAAATATCACACAAAAATATATTTTATTAGAGTTATCTCTAAATGTAAATTTTAATGCGTTTTTGCAATATTTGGCGGGACATGCTGAAAACACCCCGTTTTCTAAATAATCTTTGACAAATTATGTAAAAAAAAAAAATTAAAAACCATGTTATTATACTAAACTAGATGGTTACATTTTATTCCACATAAATTTTCCTGTATATAATTATATTTTTATGAAAAATACTGGTTACGCCAATTGACACAAACCAGTTATACTCACCTGACCATGTTGCTTCTACAGCCAAAGTCCGTTGTTTGTTGAAGAAATTGACACTGAAAATCAAGCATGACTGTCAATAAGTTCAGCTGAAGTGCTTTTTTTTCAATGCTTAAAAAAAAAATCTGGCAACATGAATTTATCATAGTGATGAACAGTTAACTCATGTCTCATATTGTAATTGGAGTTAAGAAACTATATCTGACAAGAAACCATCATAGTGATGAACAGTGAACTTGTCTCGTATTGTAAATACAGTTAAGAAACTATCTGACAAGAAATCATCAGAGTGATGAACGGTGAACTCATGTCTTGTATTGTACATGGTTTTTCCTGGCTCAAAATGAGGCGGAGGTGGTACCATCCTGATAATGTGCACACAATGTACCCACCCTTCAACTGGCTGAAAAAAACTTTTTTACACGCAACGTATTTTAGGTGTTACAATAATTATATGATTGAAAAGAATTACAATTGTAAAGTTACATTTGACAAAAACAAACCTGTTGAACATTAAATTAAATACAACATACCAGCTAAATGCCCTTTTGTAGCTATTTTTTGTAGCTAACTAAGCTAAAAGTTACATCAGCTTGGCATTTCTCATGTAAACTTTCTTTATTGTTATGAAAATACCCTTTTAATAATAGTTTATTAAAAGTTTAACATAAATTACATGTTTAGGGCCCTATGAAATGTTTTATTTTCTTTAACCATATGTTTTATTGTTACCAAATTCTGTGTTGTAGCATGTCTAATTATTTGAATGCGTAAAAACAACTTTATTTAATGAGACGGCAGATGCTGAAATCACCGCGAGCGTCACACGTCCTGTGGCAAGCCAAATGGCGTTAAAAGCGTTGCTTTTTACAAACACTAAAATGCCGTTAAATACGGTGTTTTTTACCGTTTACGTGCGTCTTTTTACAGCGTCTGCTATCAGGATGGCGTATTTGATGGCGCTAATGCTGTTTTAAAAAAAACGGTGTTTTGTATGTAAACGCGATTTATCTATAGCGTAATTCTGACTCTTTTGGCTTGCCATAGTGTAGTAAATGAAACCACGCGTCTCCGCCATTCAATCATTCATTTATACAGAGATTATCGCGTAATTTGAGTTGATGCTCATCAGATCACATAAATCAGTCGAAAATCAACAGAAATGAATCTGTGTAAAGAAATATCAAGTAAACTTGTATAATAATATCAGATTTTTTCCAAATATGAACTAAAAGCTCTAATGGACGCTGTTCAGTGATGCTTGCACGTGACTGCCTGCCTGAGT